CCCAACTTAACATCCTTTCCATAATGGCAACGATCTGCTTTGGAAAACCTAAACTGAGCATGATTCTCCAAATTGTTTTACGGCAAATGGAATCAAATACTGCGCGAAAATCGATGAAGGTGGCGCATCAGGGTAGCTGAAATTGACGGCATTGCTCGATGATCCGGTGCAGCCAATTGACTCGGTCGGTGCACGAGTGCCTTGTTCGAAAGCCTACTTGATTTACTTGAAGATTCCTTTCAACCGTCAGCCGCAGCCGCTCCATGACGACCATCGAAAATATTTCCCCCCGCATCGACAAAGGTATAATCCCCCGATAGTTCGAGCAACAGATGTTGTCTTAACCCTGGTAGATCGGAATTATGATTCTCTTTTTAATGTTCAAAACATTTCTTGTCCATCAACGCGCGGTAAAACAATTTCTGGAACTTTAGCAGCATACCATCACCACCGAGCTTGAGCAAATCTGTTTGTATCCCATCTGCAGCGTAGGCTTTGTTAACCTTTGAACGCTCCAAGGCTCTGCGTAGTTCATCCGTGGTGCGGGATCAGAGGATATGTCCAGTGACATTTGACCACTGCCAACGTCCGATTAGACCTTCTGGATCGCTGCTGCTCAACAAGCATTCAAAACGTTCGGCCTATCGCTTCCAGCGACTATCGTACTCTGTCAATGCCCTGCGCATCACTGACAAGTTCAAAGCGTGGCGGCACTAGATCCGATATTTTTTGCACTGTCCAAAAAACAGAACGCCAGTCGCCCGTGTTTGTTGCCGCTTCTGATTTGCTAGTTTCTGAATCTAGCAACACCTACTTTCCTTGGCAAGACTCATTCATCTCCTTGGCAAGACGTCGGTGGCCCCCTTTTAGAGTGAGCGATTCACAGCTGCAGCATTAGGATTTTTGCTGTATTCCCTGTGCAAGGGATTTTTCAGACACCCATCTTTTCTACTCTTTTTGCTTTTCTCTCAGCCCGATGGTTCTGATGACGAATTTGCAGAAATTTTATATTCGTCATTGATATCCATCTGGCTTTTGCCTTTTGCCGTTGTGTCTCGGCATGATGGTTGAAGTTCCGGATCAGTTCCGGTTGAAACAAAGCCCTGACTTCTGC